ACCTGGAGGTCAAATTTTGATTTGTTCTATTTTTATCCTCCGTTCCTCCTCATTATCGTCAGGTTTTCCTTTAAATGTTTCAGAGAGTTTATAAAAGCTCTTTCAAAGTTCTTGTCTACTAATTTCATCTTCCTTTCCATTTCTGAATCTGTTTCTATTTATTGATTTTTCTTATGTTTATGTGTCACATCTTTCTACTTCTTGTAATATATAGCACTTTTATGGGAAGCAGGGCATTACAGTAGTATGTTGTTGAATACTTGGATTTTGTATTTTTCTTTTAAAGAGTGTTGGATTTTGTTTTGGCAGACAATTAAGTTATTGTGGGTAAGCTTGATCCTTTTGTAACTTATGTATAAATTTTATTAGAGTGGGCCTAAATTAGCCTTTACCCTTAAACAAGCTTTAATATAGGAGCTGGTATATGTCTATAATTATGCTCTACACAATGGTTAGGATGTTCAACCAAGTGTCTCTATTCTTCCTACTTGAAACTCAAACATGTCCCAGACCAATGTGAAATTATTGGAAATTATTCAGCTTTTTAATTCTTTGTCTCATAAAGTTTCACCCTATGCGTATGTATCATAGTATTCAGCAACATATTTAAGGGAATGCGTGTGTGTGTATTTTTGGAACTCCTTTTCTTAGTAGCATCCTTTTTCTGTGCTCTGTCTTGAAAACTCCAGGTATCTCAGCCTTTCTAAATTCCATCTGTCTTTTCAAACCACTGAGGTGATGGTGCTCTGCTTGGCTTTCTTCCCCCTACTCCATGGTCTAGAAAATGTGCCGGGTAGAAGTCTAAAGTGACCAAGGTCTCATTTTTTCCTCTTCTCTCAGATATTACAGTATTCTACTGTCTAATGCCCAGTGTCTAAACTCAACTTTTAATTTTTTTTTTCGGTTTTATAGCATTTTTTTAAGTGATGGGAGGGTAAGTTATTATTTCATGTCCAGGGACCAGCACCCGGTTTTAAAAAACAGATTGTTTCTAAGCTCTGTTTGAAGTTTTATGGTAAAAACTTATTTATGTTTTCTTGAAAAACTTAAATTATGTCATGTTCTGTTTTTATATATTAAGCTGGGATTTTGCTTCCTATAACTTTTTCACAGATTATAGTTATATCTTAAATCTGTAGGCTTCAGCTACATTGCATAGATCTGTTTCTTTCTTCTTTTTTTTTTTTTTTCACATGACAGCTGTTTGAAATTTGAAGACAGAAAGTACTTTTTTTTTTTCCCCCTGAGAAATGGTTTTCTGAATCTTTCATAATCTTGGATGCTTTTTGGATATTGTCAGGTTCAAAATATTTTTTCTAAAATATATTTCCTATAAATAATAAAAACATTCCAGATGTGGTCTGATGAAATCATGCATATGGGATTGATCTTGTGTTATCAAATGATTAATAACTTTTATTTAAATATTGTTACTAGCACACTACCATAGAATCTATATAACGTCAACAAAATGCCAGTTTTAGCCTCTTTTTTATTACAAAATATAGGGTTATACAGTCACAGAATTCGAAGTAGAAAAAAACTATTGGGAACAGTTTACGCAACCATGCCATTCTACTGAGAAATCTTTTTTTTTTTTTTTGAGATGGAGTCTCACTCTGTCGCCCAGACTGGAGTGCGGTAGAACGATCTTGGCTCACTGCAACCTCCACCTCCCTGGTTCAAGCAGTTTCCCTGCCTCAGTCTCCCAAGTAGCTGGGATTACAGGCACATGCCACCACGCCCGGCTAATTTTTTTGTATTTTTAGTAGAGATGGGGTTTCACCATGTTGGTCAGACTGGTCTCAAACTCCTGACCTGCCTTGGTCTCCCAAAGTGCTAGGATTACAGGCATGAACCACCGCGCCAGGCCTCTACTGAGAAATCTTTATTGCCTCCCTGTCACTTTCAGCAGAGCCCAAAGTCTTAATGGTGCAAACACAGCCTTGTCTACTTTTCTTCATTCGTTATTCATCTTTGGCTCTATGATTTTTTGCTTCAGTAATCTTTTGTATTTCATAAATAGATTTCTTTCAGGGGTTTTTTTCCATGCTGTTTGCTTGCCTAGAATGTCCTTTCTAACATGATTTCTTACCTAAAATTACATATCCTTTAAGAATCTTTACAGATACTGATTCATCCAGGAAGACTTTCTTCTTTTTAAAGCACTAAGGATGAGCTGGCTGCTCCTTCTCTTGCACCCGTAATTTTTTGAATAGCTCTATCATTGCATTTAGTACATTTTACCATAATATCCAATGTACTTGTCTATCTGGAATACTGAGGATCTTGACTAGTATTATTTATCATTGTATCACTAGTGTTTAGTAAAACATCTGGGACATAGCATAAGTGAAATAAATGGCTATTAAGAAGAAAATGAGTTTTACAAATTGGAAAGTTGAGTTCTGAGAAACCAACTTGTCTAAGGACGCAGAGCTAAATCATCATAATCAAGTCATAGAACTGAAATTCTACATGTTTTTGAAATTGTAGTTTAATTTTCGAAATGTTAGTTTTTGCATCTTAAGTAGAGAAAGCTCATGCCAGGCAACATAGTTTCCTAGAAAGTAGTGTTAGGCAAATGTTTATGTTTTAAGACTTTCTTGGGGAGTGTAGTCTTTTGAGATGTGGGAGAGAGGGAAAAAGGAGTGAGGCAGGAAGTAAAGAAAATGAATATGAGGGGGTGTGTTACTGAGTTAGCCATCGCTTGACATCAAGTATAATGACTGTTTAATTTGGTAGGACTACTGCTGGAGAGACTGCATGATCTACTGGTCTTATGACAGTCCTTCTAGAGAGAGGAAGGGAGATAATTTATGTGCCAGATTCGTCTCTTACTGGTCTGAAATTGGTTCCACAAAGATGGCCTCTCTGAGGTTATAGATTGAATAAATAGCATGACTGTCGATTGGGTTCCAGGACATCTGTAAATGTCAGGGAGGACTTATTTCAATCTGCTTCAATTGTACCATGAAAAATATGTCACAACTTTCTTATACAGCTCTTATTTGTTTTATGAACTTTTTACATAATAGAATTGGCTCTTTGCTAACGTTGAGATTGCATTTTGACTGCTTTTCCTCTCAAGAATTCTGGGCACTAGAGTGGAGAAAAGGAAGTAAACAGAAAAATGGCAAGCATGATGTGTAATGAATTAAAGTTATTTCCCCTAAACTTTCCCCCTAATTTTCTAAATGATAGATACCAAATCCAAGAACGTTTTTCGGGAAATAATGTTGTCCCTAGAGATCCCTAAGAGCTTTGGTAGTCATTTTAATTCGTCATTTTTAGAAGTTCTCAACTGTTTTTATGTTTTTGAATTTGATAATTGTCATTTACCGATTTCTCCTACCCTAAGAGATAGTATATAAAGCATGTTCTATAGTAGACTATTGCATGAACAGAAAACAATGGCCAGAAAACAAAATAACATTTAAAAACATGCTTAGTCAAGGCTTTTTGATTCCCTTATCAACTCTTCAGAGATAAGTATGGTTAAAAGTTTGGTACATATTCTTCCAATTTTTATGCAACTTATGTGCAAACTTATACCTGGAGAAACTTTTCTATATTCCCTGCTCTGTACCTAGTCTCTTAAGCTAGCTAGCTTTCTTTTCTTTCTTTTTTTCCTTCGTTCCTTCGTTCCTTCCTTCTTCCTCCCGGCCTCCCTCCCTCCCTCCTTTTCCTTTTTCTTTCCTTCTCTTCCTTTTTCTTTCTGTCTTTTCTTCTCTTCCTTTTTCTTTCTGTCTTTCCTTCTTCTTGTAATTACACACATTACTGTGATGATTATTCTATCTGCATAGCAACTTTGGGTAAATTCATATGTAATCACTAAAAGTGGAATTGTTAGTTCAAAGGGAAGACAGGATAGGTATTGCAAAATATATTGTACCATTGGACCCTCCTTAAATGGTTGAGAATGCCTGGTTTCGTCCTCATTCAAATGAGTATTAAGTATTTTAAACTTTGCTAATCTGAGGCATAAAAAATCTCATTGTTCTGATTTGTATTTATTTGATTATTAAGATTCAAGATCTTATTATTTGTTTATTGGTCAATTCTGTGAATTGCTTTTTGCAAGTCTTTTCATGTTTGTCTGTAAAGTTGGTAAATTATTTATATTTATTCTTTTTTATTTACAAAGATAGGTCTGTTTATTTTAGCATTAATTTGCAGACAGTTTTGCTATATTGCATAGTAACCTATTTCAAATGGATAGAAAACAATTTTTCCATTATTTTAAAATTTGCTGATAGTATTTTATAATTTGGTTTGTGGGATTATTTGTTATGAAACATTTGAATGACTAAGTTGTCAAATGTATTGATCTGTTCTCTTTATAGTTTCTGGGTTCATATTATTACAAAGATGTTTTTCATTTTAAAATTATGAAATATTCTTTTTGTTTTTACATTTTAATCTTCAAGTTGTTGTGATTTTAGTTTTTTTTTTGAGACAGAGTCTCGCTCTGTCGCCCAGGCTGGGGTGCAGTGGCGCGATCTCGGCTCACTGCAAGCTCCGCCTCCCAGGTTCAGGCCATTCTCCTGCCTCAGCCTCCTGAGTAGCTGGGACTACAGGCGCCCGCAACCACGCCCGGCTTATTTTTTGTATTTTTTAGTAGAGACGGGGTTTCACTGTGTTAGCCAGGATGGTCTTGATCTCCTGACCTCATGATCCACCTGCCTTGGCCTCCCAAAGTCCTGGGATTACAGGCGTGAGCCACTGCGGCCGGCCTTGATTTTACTTTTAAGCATAGCAAGAGGTTATGTAATATCTAAAACGAAATAGAGACTCCAATTTCTGCATGCAAAACATATTAGGTAGTCTACCTTTTACTCATAGATTTAAAAGGTAATCTCTATTATATATTGGAGTTTCATGAATCTTTGGGATCTTATCTTGTCTATTGATATATACTCTTATGTGCTATTATTATATAATTTTATTATGAATTCATAGTATATTCATACATTTGCTTAGTCATTTGTCTGTTTTAGGTACCATGTGAAGGTCTGGGCATAGAACGGGAAACAAGAAAGATAAGGCCCTTGCTTACATAGAACTTGGTGAAGAATCTAGACCATAAAAAGCACACAGAGAAAATATATCACAAATTGTGCTAAAGTTCTGTAAAAGGACTAAGATGAAGTCTCACAAGACTGAATTAGACAGAGTGCCCTTGAAAGAGGTCAGTTGATGAGCAGTCTTTATTTCTTATGCAAATTGAATTCCCCTTTATCATGTAACAGAACATATTTACAGGTTCCAGGGATAAGGCCATGGACCTTTCTGAAGACTCATTATTCTGCCACCTGCAAGAGGAGAGAGAACTGTTGTGCTGTGTGTGAGAGGAAACCTGGGAAGAGCTAGGGATGGAAGCTATGGTCTTTTTTTATTAGGGCAAAGAGTTTAGATTTAAGTGAAAAGCAGTCATGGGGGTTATTGACAGGGCCATACCATGATTTGATGTAATTTTTCAAATATCTATTTTTAACAGAGTTTAATTGTCAATACAATCATTTACTCTTAGATGTTAACCCTAGAACAGAAAAGCTAAAACTTTTTCAAAAAGAAAAAACAGGAGGAATTTTGTTTGAACCATGCTGAATTTATTGAAATATTTTATCAAGTGGTATCTTGACTGTACAGGATTTATACTTCCATTCATTTGTGTTTTTAAATGTATACTTTTAAAAAATACTCTTTATCTTGGAACTGTGTATTTCATGTGAGATTTAACCTTATATATTATGTAAAATTAAAAAATATTTTAATGTTATATCACTGATTATTTTTAGTTAAATTAAGTGCTATTGATTTTGTATATTTTTGAAAAATCTAGCAACCTAGTAAAATTCACTTATTCTAAAAATTTTCACTCAAACTTTTAGGCTTTCCAGTTAGATAATTTTCATATAATCTTAATTCTTTCATTTTATATTTACACATTTAACTTAAATGGCACTGATAAAGGCTTACAGTATAGAAGTGATAAGTGTAGGTATTGATTAGTAATGAATACTTACTTTATTAAGTGACTTACTTTAGCATGTATCATTTTTGTCCATTAGTGTGTAATGCAATGAATTATATCATGATATTTCCTCAGTCTTAAACTATTTTTTTATTTCTGGAAGCAATGAACACTGCTTTTCTCTTGGTACAATATTATTTACTTCTGCTGGACTTTATGAGCTAATATTTACATTTAAGATATCAATAAAGTATATACATAAGTGATGTTTATCTATTATAATTTTTATGCTATCTTTATTCATTGAATATTAATGATATAGCAGCTTTATGAATAATGTTTGAAGGATCTCATGTTTTTCTAGTCTCTGGAGCAAAATTAAAAACTTGACCCTTTGCTAAGATTTATGAATCTGGTGCCTTTGTTATGGGTCTATTCAGGGTTTTGAAATATTTTTTGAAGTTGGTCATTTATATTTATAATTGTATTGGCCAGGCCCAGTGACTCACAGCCATAATCCCAGCACTGTGGAAGGCCAAGACAGAAGGATCACTTGAGGCCAGGAGCTCAAGACCAGCCTGGGCAACATAACAAGCCTCTACCTCTACAAGAATTAAAAAAAAAAAATTAGCTAAGCATGGTGGCATGCAGTTATAGTCCCAGCTGTTTGGGAGGCTGAAACAAGAGGATTGCTTGAGCGCAAGAGTTTGAGGCTACAGAAAGCTGTGATAGAGACACTGACTTCGAGCCTGGGTAAAAGAGTGAGACCTTTTCTCTAAAATAATAGTAACTATTATTATTATATTTATAAGTTTATTGGTATAAAGTTATACTTTATTCCTGTATAACACTTTGACCTCTAAATTTTAGCCTTTAATCTGTGTCTCTATGGATGATTTTTTAAAAATCTTGTTTCTTTATTCTTGGGAATATCTGTAAGAAGTTTTTATTTTAAAAGTATTTTGAAAAATGTAGCTTACTTTAATGAATTATGCTTATTTAAAGTATTAATTTCTATTTTCCTTTTATTGTTTCTGCCATCTAACTTTCTCTAAGAGAAGACTGACTACCAGTGCACGTGGATGGATAATTTCTTGATAAAATGGATGTCTCACTGTGCTGAAGAACAAAGAAACAAATGTCTGAGTTCATTATGCATTTCACTCCTTAGATAGAATATTTTAAAACTTTAGCACTTAGATTTCTAAATTCTTTTGATTCTTCTTTGATTCATTTATCATAGTATCTTACTCTTGATTTATGGATGCCGTATGTTCTAAATTTCCATGGAGAATGCTAACTTTATCTCTTTTTTATTGTATTAACTCTGTTTCATTAGAGAAATGATATTTACTGCCTTTGAGCTTCTTTTCAGAATACTGAGTATGTTCTTGTGTCACCTTATTTGCCAATAGTGCCAATTTTTAGAATGGAGGGTATAGATCCATCCTTTGCAACTGGGGAGGACCTCCTCAGTAAGGCACTGAGCCAGGACTCTATGCAGCCATGCAAACAGGTAAGTATGCTTACCTTCCTCTCCGGGTTACAAAGTCAATTTGCGTTGCTGCAGGCATATCTTTTCACTATGACAACACTTGGTGTTTTTTTTTGTTTTGTTTTTGTTTATTGTATTTTCTTTACTAGGGAAACACTACACACACAATGAAAAGACATTCTTTTCCTGTCTGTGGTGGAGTCGTCCAAGTTGTTTGGCTTGATTTCCAGTGTCGACTTTCTAAACCAACAAGATTTTAATCCTCTGATGGCAGAATGTTAGGAGTGTCTGTTTCTGGGCTGGATTTTAGTTGCCGAGGTGGTAAGTATGTGGGGAAAGAATTACTGTAGAAATTAAAGTTTCCAGGGATTTTATTGCTGTGCTGAGTCATTTATCCTTTTTGTGTGTTGGGGATAAAAGTTATCTGGAGAACTATTTATCTTTTCTCTCTCTTCTAATGCCAGTAATCGAAGTCTTCTTTGCCAAAGTCCCAATTTTCTATTGATCAAGCTAAACTTCTGCATGATCAAGCTAAACTTCTGCAAGGTGTGAATGCTATAGTTAAATGCATTCTGTGTTTAGGAAAGGCACAGTTCTTAAAGTCACGCTGCTATCTCACACCGGGCTTCCATATCACTTCCTCTTTCAACCCTGAGTTGTGTGTTATTTTGTTGAAAAAATATTATTTCTAATGTTTCAAAAAGCTTTCCTTTGCTTGAGTTCAGTTATGAGTGATATGTACTTGTCATCATCAATAAATTTTTTAGCTGATGTGATGACTGAAGCCTGTAATCCCAGGACTTTGGGAGACTGAGGTGGGAGGATCACTTGAGCCCATGAGTTCGAGATCAGCCTGGGCAACACGGTGAGACCCGGTCTCTCCGAAAAAAAAAAAAAGAATTTCTTCAATTTCTTGTCCATTGATAGTACACGTCTCTGGCATAATGCCTTTCTTTCTTTTCATTTTTCTTACGTGCATTTTTTGTTGGTAATGAAAATAATATTTGGGAAAGAAAAAAATGTATCCAGATCAAAAAATTGGAATTTGTACTTTGGTTCATTTAACAATTAATAGTTTTCCACACGTGTTTCTTCTTCCAATAATTTCTAGGGCATTCTAAACTTTCAAATGTCACCCATGCACTTTGCCACTTTTAGTGAAAGCTGAGGAGTTACAGTAGAGTTTGTTCAGATCTGTGGCTCCCCAGTGATGGAGAGCACTTTGTTGAGCATTTGATTGAAATGGGAAGGCTTAATGGCCTTGTTTGTTCTGAGGCTTTTTTTTTTCAATCTCTGAAAATAAAATTATATGCTAATATGTAGATGAATTCTGTATTTTTTGAAGTTACACAGCTCTTTACTGGAAAGGACCTCGAATACAATTTCTCTAAAAACTGATGTAGATCTCTTCTATTATTCCAAAATGTCTGCCTCATTTTTTTTAAACCTGTCAGGCATGTTTGGTCTAACCCTCCATATCCAGGTAGGTAAGTTGTCATTTAACTACATTTTGCAGGTGTGGCAAGTGAGGCTCATAAAATTTAAGTAATTCTCAAGACACCTAGTAAGAAAACGCTAGAATCTAAACTGTCTATTTCTAGTTAAAGTTATGCCGCTATCTCCCACAGGGCTTCCATATCACTTCCTCTTTCAACCCTGAGTTATGGATTATTTTGTCAAAAAAACTATTATTTCTAATGATTAGGAAAGTTTTCCTTCCCTTGGGTTCAATCATGAGTGATATCTATTTGTCATCATCAAGAAATGTTTCAGCCGAGCTGCTCCTACATCACATGTGCTCTCTAAATTTAATAATAAAAAATTAGTAAAAAAAATTTTATCAAGTATCTAATCTGTACGATATACCACTACGGCCAGAAGGGATGTGCAAAAGTGAATATGGCATGATTCTGAAGAGTTAACAATGATCAGGTTGAAGAAAGAAGCAGGGAAGATCTAAAATCACGTCACTGTGCTCATTGACAGAGACAATAACCATTATAAACAAAAGGAAGAACAATAGAAAGATGCACAGTAAGCACAGGTTTTTATTGTCAGAATAGCATCTTTATGATGGATAGAACTGGAGTTGCTTCCGGCATGTTAACTTAAAAAAGTTACCTGGAGTATCCTGGAGAATTTGATGTCTCTAGAAGCTGTTGCCTGTCTTGTGTCATCATGGATGCTTCCTGGGCTCCCAGTGGCTCCTTGGCTCCAGTTATTGACCATGACATTTGGTGTCTGTCCTACTTGGCTTTGGATGTTCTTGACCCCTGGATGCCCCTGTTCACCCCTGTGACCTGGGCCTCTACCAGGATCTGAACCTGCTGATTCCTCGCTGCTTCCTTGCTGCTTTTCAGTACTGACTTCTGCAAATTCCTGGTTTAAATTCTGCTTAGCCCAGCAGTGAGTGCCAGTGGGGACATATGTAGGCAAAGCGAATGGAGGGTTACATAACTGCCCAAACAACTCTTGCCAAATTCAGTTCAGCCAGAAGTATTCATTTTGATGTGGGTTAGGTATGTAGAAAAGGAATCTTTTGATCAGACCTCTTAATTTAGTAATTCTTGGTTTCAATATACCATACAATAAAGGAGTCCTAGTTTTATTATTATACAATACACTGAGTAGAGACAATTAAAATATATTCTGTAACTAAGAGATCTGTTGTAGAAAAGATAACTAAAAATAGAAAATCCCAAATGCTATCATTCTGGATAGAGGGCAATCCACAATAGTGAGGTAGGTTTAAAAATATAAAATTATCCTATTTTATTTGGATAGTTCAGGACAATGGACACATTTAGTTTTACATTATTTGAGCCTCTGGGTTAGAAGGAGATCTCTTCTCTCTCTTTCTCTTTCTCCTTCTCCTCCACCACTCACCTTCTCTCTCCTTTCCTTCCTGTCTCTATCCCTCTTTTTTCTTTCTCTCTTTCTATCTCTCTGTCTTTCAAGCTGAGTATATCCATTATATGTAAAGAGCAGTTAGAGGGACCTTGGTCTCCAAGATAAACTAATTGTAATAAACGTTTTCATAGAAGTGTCTCGTGCAAAACAAGTTTGCTGAAAATGGGAGAATTTTGTCTGCTTGTTTGTAAGAGGTGGTTCTTGAGCAATGTTATAGAGGAAAAGACCCTATCTCTCATGGAAGACTGTTATATTATCAGTACCATTCCACAATCAGAAACAAAAAATAAAGCGGTCAAGCTTTATGAATGTTCCAGTTGTTCTTTATGTTCACTTGTACATTGTAATTTTTTTTTTGAATTTTAGGCAATTCTCCAGGTGTATAGAGGTTACGGTTTTAATTTGCATTTCTCTAGTCACTACTGACATTGAATACATTATTCACAATCTTGAACAACTTTCACATAATTTTCTTAGTTGCTACCCATATGTTTTCTCAGGTGAATGTTTATTCATTCTTTAACCCAAGTTTCATTTGCTATCTTCTTATTATTCAGTTGTAAGAGTTCTTTATGTAATCTAGATACACATGCTTTATCAGATATGTGTTTTGTAAATATATTCCTTTGTTACAGAATGAAACCTGGTTCAAGTTGCCTGGCACAGGAAAGCCAAACATCCACACCAAGATTTTGCAGCTAGAGAAAAGAGGGCATTTATTCGCAGGGCACCAAGCAAGGAGAATTGGGTAATTCACACGTAAGACCTGATCACCCTCATGGCTTCCAAGCAAGAGTGTTTTTAAGTTAAGGGTAAATTTCAGGAAAGAAGAAGTTACAGGCAAAATTGTAAATACACACAGGAGGCTGTATATTGGTTTAACCTAAAAGGGAGGGATATCTTTTCGGTAGGGCTTATAGAACGTGGGCGAATTTAAAGATCCTCTGATTTGCAATTGGTTAAGGAAGAAAAGCTTTGTCTAAAATCTTGGGGTCAGCAGTAAGGAATGTTAAGGTCTGGCATGTGGGTGTGACTTTCTCCAGGCCCCTCTAAAAGATCTCCAAAAGAGATTTAGAACAAAGACTGTTGGTAAGAGTTCAGTCCTCAGTTCCCCTTTATCTGAGGTCTATG